GCTGCGGCGCCGGGCGCTGGAAGAAGGGGCGCGCCTCGTGGGAGCCACGCACGTCGTGACTGGTGAGCGCAGGCGCCGTAGCAGCAGGAGCGTATGGGAAGGAACGGGCGCATGCGCGGGCGAGGGGCCAGCACTTCAAGGGAGCTGGGCGCATGCCCAATACGTGGTAAAGGAGACCAGGTATGTCTCAACCGGAGAGAATCAGTAAGGAGAAGGGAATATGCACGTCCACTGAAGGTTCATGGGCATAGTATCTGCGTATCCCTAGGATGGGCATGGCAAGCTTTTGAGTCACTGCCATCATCTTGGTACACACATGCCAGCAAATACAGGGGTGGAAGGGTATTCTCGAGGGGCTAGGGCTGTGGTTCTCTCCACTTATAACGAATTTTTAAAAATTAATTTGGGGGTGTAATTAGTTTTACTTATCTATTTATTTGATGGAGGTACTGGGGATTGAACCCAGGACCTCATCATGCTAGGCATGCTCTCTACCACTGAGCTATACTCTACCCCCGGCACTTTTTTTAAAAATGACATTCTTTGTGTCCCTTTTCACAAAAGGAGGGGTGTGAAGGGACATCTCCCATCAGAAGCCATGTACAGTCTGAAACACAACTTTTAACTCCTTTTCTCTATCCGCTTCTCCTTTCCAATAACTCTCTGTCTCTGCCCCAATCATTACTTCAACAAATAATTATTGACCATTTATTGTGTATTAGATGCAAGCTATGTAGCCTGGAACAAACTACCTAACCTCAGTTTCTCCTTTTATATAATGGGGATAATAATAATATCTAGGTCCTAGAGTTCCTGGGGATTAGATGAATTATGGGAATTATGTATGAAGCACTGAGACAAGAGACTGAGAAACAGTAAATATATAAATGTTTCCCGTATGACGATGCACAAGACAGACTGTACTCCAGCCTGCTTCTCACATACATAATTATAACCTGATAAGTGCTACTAAGGAAAATGACACAGATCTTGGCAGTTTATAACAGGAGGACCTTGTGAAGGGAGAAAGCGGGGGATTAAGGAAGCGTTTCCTGAGTGAATGGGGAAGGAATTAGCTGAAGGAAGAACAGGGGGTTGAGAGACGCGTTCTGAGCATCGGAAACAGCATATGCAAAGGCCCTGAGGAGGGGAAGCAGGTTTGAGAAGCCCTACAAAGACCAGTGTTTTACTATAGGCTTCAGTATAAAATGACAAATTGCAGAATAAGTAGACATCTAGTTTAAATTATATGGTGACTGTTGTGGAAATATGCACTTACTTTCTCCCTGGGCTTGCTAAACATCCTGAGCTGTATTCTCAGAGGCACTTGTGTCAACAGCCCACTTGAGAATCTCCATTAAATGCCATTTTGACTTCTGAAGTACACTTCCAAGTGGGGCTGAAATGAT